AAATTATTTTTTTTAATTTTAATAAATAAAAAATTAAAATTTATAAATTTAATAAAATTAAAAATTAAAAATATTATAATATAAAGTGAAGATTAAAACTACTGCGCCTAGTAAGATGATAAGTTGAAAGTAAGTTTTTACGAGCAATGACACCTTCAAAATTTCCAAACATGCAATTTCAAATTTAAACAAAAAGTTGTCACCTTTTGAAGGATTATGATGTATTTTCAATGAAATATTATAGAAAACCCACAAGTCTGATCTTTATTTTCTTTGAGATGAAGAAGAGAACCCATGGGGTATTTGATGAGAACCCAGATCTAAGTTCTCACTGGGTTCTCAAAATCAAAATCTAGATATGGCTTCTTCGAAATCCATCTTCGAATCTTCACATGGCTCGTGTAGATCTCCTACTTCCTCCAAATCTTCCATTATTTTTAAGATTTTTGATACGGTGCTTGCCATCTCTTCTTGGAGATGTCGGAGTTGGGCTGAGGCGTTTTTTAAGAAAGAATAAAAAGCAGCCATGGAAGCCACTGGAGTTGGTCTTGTAAGGAACAAGAAAAAAGCAACAATGGAAACTGCTGGGTTTTGTTAGGGTGGAAACTGGAAAGAATGGAAGGTTGAGAAACTTTACCCATTTGCAGGGACGATGAATGGGTTGATGAATAATTTGATTTTTTTTTTTTTAATTTTTAATTTTTAATTTTTTAAATATACTGCAATATTTGATTAAGTTAAATGAAATTAATTTTTTAATTAAACCAGAGCAATGCTAGGAGCAATCGCCTCCTGCACTCTCCACTCCAACCAACACCTGCTTATTTATTGGGCCACGTCACATTACTTTGAAAGAGTAACCAGCAACCTTCAATAGCAGGTTTTTAAGAAAGAGAAATTTCAGATAAAGCATTTCTTTTTCTTTGGCCTTTACCACCGTCTCAGCGGCGATCCAATGGTTCTGCGACTTCGTATTTGTTTTTGTTTTTTTTTTTAACCAACGATTCCACAACTGAGTCTGAAGCAGATGAGTTTTTAGTTGAAGCACAAAAGGTAAATATGAAAAATTGATATTAGATTTGATAAATTTCTTTTTGTTTTTTTTTTTCTTGAAATCCACTTAAAATAATCAAATAAAACTATTTCTTTGGGCATTAATTGCTAGTTTGGGTAATGTCAAGACGTAAGCAAAATTGATATTTTCTTTTAACAATGATTTGGCGATTGAGTGTTTTATCATGAATTTATGTTTTTTTTTTAATTTCTGAAGTCGAGTACCAAGACAGGAATTTAAGTTTGAAAATTTAGCTTTAATTAATTTAAAATTTGAATCTTTTGAAATTTTGTTCCATTGGGGCTTGTAGATTAAGATTTGGTGTCCATCGCTGTTCGGGCGTTTTGACGAGGATGAGAGAGAAGATGCAGGAGTAGAGGAGAAAGGGGACTAGAGGAAGACGAAGGGTACTTTTGTCTTTTTGAGTTGATAAAATTAACCAAAAAAAAAGGGGTGTAATTGGTTGGAGTTGAAAGAATTTTCCAACAGGTTGCAGTTCACTTCAAACCGGTTGCTCTTTCATTGCCTTAAATGCAGTGTGACGTGGTCCAATAAACAAGCAGGTGTTTGTTGGAGAGTGCACAGGGCGACTGCCCCTGGCACTGCTCATTAAACGATCAAGTTGAGTTACTTTATTTTAATTAATTGACTTAATTCATTTGTTTCCATTTTACTAATTGGGATTTAGGTTTCATTTAGTGAACATAACTGAGTTAATTACCCTTGAGGAAGAGACATTAAAATAAGAAAAGGGGGAAAGACTCTCTTTTAGGTAGGGCCCAAATAATATGGAGATGAAAAAAGAAGAGAAAGTGCCACGGTGGTGGAAAGGGGACCACTGTAAGTGTTCATCATGCAAAAATTAGGCAGCTAAGTTTGGAGTTAGCATACTAACTGCTTACAGTGACGTGGCGATTATGGGTTAAATTTTAGGTAATTTATCTAATTGAAAAGGATTGTAGGGGTGATCCACTTTTTTAATTTGAGAATGAATTTATCTCTCATGCATAACTTTTAAGTAAATTTAGGGCTGTTTGGCTATCCATCTAATAGTTTCAATGTTTTAACATTATTTATATTTTATAATTAAAATTTTATATTTTTAAATTTTTTTAATTTTAAAAAAATCTTAAATAATAAATACTCAAAAGTTTCAAATTTAAATTTTTTATAAATTCTCTTTTTATTTCCTTTTTATTCATTTTTTTATTTTTAAAATCAATTTTAAATTTTTTTAAAATAAAAATTTAAACTTATCACTTATAAATCGTACCAAAAATAAAAAAAAAAATAAAAGTTTCAAAAAGCATCACCAAACATGCCCTTAGACATTGTACCTCTAACAATCTTACCTTAGCAGCTAAACTTCACAAGTTCCACTATTGAAATAAGGATCATATATTTGCACCACATCTTTTTGAAAATTGTGACAAGTCAATTAGTCCGTTGGGAACAATAAGATATCATGCCAACTTGATTTGATTATGCATGCATGTCTACTTCTACCAAGCGAACGTATTCTCTTTTTTCTTTTCT